GCGCGGGTGTGTGTGTGTGTGTGTGTGTGTGTGTGTTATGCTTATATGACCATAATTTTAATTTATTTTGATTAAGATTCAATTACTTAATTAATTTTTTAATTATAAATAGTATCATAATGTACTTCCATTTCATTTTTTTTTTTTTTTTTTAATTAGACTTAAAAATTAGCATTTAAAATTTAAAGTTATTATGCAATCACTATTTCACTTTTCAATTTTTTTGTGAGGATTGCATAACTCGCATTTACATGCATTATGGAGGAAGTAAATTTTCCTCCAACCAACTTTATTGGTTTTTTGAACTTTTAATTACATAAATAATTGTTATTACATACTTTACCAAAAAATATGTCACAGAACGTGGGGTTTGCAGCAAAAACCATCCTGCATTGAAAGGGTTAATATAAAAATAACTTGTCAACTTTTTATAAAAATAAGGATTTAGGGTTATGAATCGCACAATATAATAAAAAAGCAAAATATTACCCACTTTATTCTACATTTTGTAAATGTTAAAAAGTAAACAATTAAAAATAAATTAAAATTCCATAAAATTAATGTCTGTCAGAGGTACATTACTTGAATTTGGCAATCCCTCTGAAATGACAAGTGACCATACTGAGATCAATAATTGCAGTCGTGGTCATATTAAACCTTAACATATCAAATAAATAGATATAAAATATCACAGCACATCTCACAATAGATAAAACATTTTATTATTTAACATTGTCTTCCAGTTTGGTGAATTTTGCTATAAAGAAACCGATGGTGTCATCTTCTGGGACGGGTTCTCGACTGTTCCCGAAGCGCTGGACGTAGTATCGTTCTTGCTCGTTCAGACCGCACTTTAAAAAGCAAATAGATTAATATTTTTCAAAAATGCAAATTAAAAAGACATACATCTGGGAGGCCTGGCATTCCGAGCATGGGGCTCGAACGGATAAGCCTTAGTTTGGGGAATTTCTGCAAAGCCCAGACAACCATGGCCTCATTTTCTTCTACAGTAATTGTACACGTGCTATACACGAGGAAACCTCCAGGTTTTAACAGCTGCACAGCCTACCACAGATAAATTAAATATGTCATTCTGTATATCATAGAGGTATACAAACCTCAGTAAATAAACCCTTCTGAAGTGGGGGGAAAGACTCAACGTGGCTTCGCTTCACAGTGTTACGTAGTCGTGGCCGCTTTCCGAGTGCACTGCAAGGGGCATCAAGCAAAATCCTGTCAAACGTCTCTGGTGGAAAAGGCGGCGTAAAATCATTTTCTGTCTTGTCCAGGCTCACAGCCTTAGTCGAGTCCCACACGAAGGAAGTGACATTGGTCGTTCCGAGGAGCTCACAGGTTGCTTTCATTTTTGCCACCTTGCTTGCGATTTTATCCAATGCGATTAATTTGCCCTGTTGGAATTTAAGTTTTCACATTATTACAAAAACATTTTTTTTTTTTAAATACAAATAAACCTTGTTTCTCATAAGGGTGGCCAAGTGGCAGGTTTTATTGCCTGGTGCTGCACACATATCCAAAACAAGGTGTTCAAATGTCGGATTGAGCACATGTGAGGAAAGGATCGATGGAAGGTTCTGCAGGACGCCTGCATCTTGCGGTATTTTTATCGATGGCACATAGCTTATCCTATGGTTGACCCTGACTGCCACTCCTCTAAAATGCCATAAATTACACAAAATTTTGTACATCATACAAAACTGCTAACTCACTCGGCTTTGTTGTTGTTATCAAAGAGCTGTGGGCGATCCATGAGAACCTGACCGTGTCCGATGAGTAATTTTTCCCCTTCGAATTTCTTCGAGAAACCCTTTCGGCACACACCGGCAAGATCGACGTATATGTTGACAGCGTCATCGACCTGTGTGCCGGCTGGCATTCCCATTACCCCAGGGGCAAAAATATCGGCACCTCTCAGTACCGCATTGCCACAGGAGACGTCAATGATAATTTCTTTATCGACACCTTCGAGACAATCAGATTTCTCTTCTTTTTTCCAGCTACCGACGACAATGCAATCCCGGATAATCTCATGCTGGTACACTACTGGCATTTTGGCTACTTTCTCATCGAAGTTCTGAAAATATACTACTTATAGTAATGAATTTTTTTTTTTTTTTTTTTTTTTTGTGACAAACCTCAGGGAACTGAACCTTCAGCAACTCTAGAATATCGTCGATTCCACATTTCAACGTGTTGACTCTAATCGTTGTGAAAGCAGGTGCCGTAGTAAACCAGCATTTTTCGTCCTTTAAAAAAATAAAAATATGTTTCAAATAATGTAAAAATTATAAATCTTGTGGTAAAAACTGAACACAAAACTTATTGATAATAAAGAGAAATGCAAGTAATATACATCGTGAATAGGAAATATTGCAAGAAAAACCCACTTGGAAAAAGTTGAAAACTAACAATAAATATTTATTTTTTTAATGTATTATTATAAATTAAACTTTCCTTCAGCAACAAAGTTCAAATTTGGAACAATGATTATAAAAAATCATTAAAATTTTTAACATATTCTAAAATTCTCAAAAGAAAGAAGATATTTTAAAATGTATTACAATAAATATATCGAATAGGTAGAAATTGTCCACAGGTACATGTGTGTAGATAACGGATAGCCGGTGATCCCGGTAAAAATTAACCACACATGTACCTGTTCATATAATATAATGATTTTTTTCGAAGTCCTGATGAAGGCGATATATTCTGCCGAAAGCTCGACAAGAAAATAAATGTTGTTTCTGTCTTCCTGGCCTCGTCCCCAATCTACCTTTAGGAAAGTATATTTAGGGCCCATAGTTCATCCACTTGGTCTTTCTTGAATCTGAGTATCCGTACAACAGACAACTTGACACTACAACTATGAGCTAGGTATGACTGACTTGTTCATCCATTTAAGCAGATGGTTGGAAGAAAAGCAATCTAAGTATTCCAAGGCTGAAATATTTATTTTGAACATTTGCTCCTCCCTAGTCCATTCTCTGCAGCCCCACTGGGTCTTTCCTCAATCTGAGCCTCGTACAAGGGACGATTTGCATACACTATAGCTGTGGGCTATGTAGGAATGACTTGTTCGTCCATTTAAGAACATGGTTGGAATAAAAGCAATCTAAGTATTGCAAGGCTGAAATATTTATTTTGAACATTTGCTCCTCACTAGTCCATCCTCTGCAGCCCCACTGGGTCTTTCCTCAATCTGAGCCTCGTACAAGGGACGATTTGCATACACTGCAGCTATGGGCTAGGTAGGAATGACTTGTTCGTCCATTTAAGCGGATGGTTGGAAGAAAAGCAATCTAAGTATTGCAAGGCTGAAATATTTATTTTGAACATTTGCTCCTCCCTAGTCCATTCTCTGCAGCCCCACTGGCTCTTTCCTCAATCTGAGCCTCCGTACAAGGGACGATTTGACATTCACTACATCTATGGGCTAGGTGTGACTTGATAGACCATTTAAGCCGGTTGCGCAGTTTTTTCCAACAGTTTGTCAAAAACTACCTCACCCTACATTTGCCTTGCTTTAAAACCGATGGTTGGTTTGGCGGAAGGTGGAAAACCGTCTGACAGACCAAAGCAGCAATAGGTAGGCGGGGAAAGTTGGACATGGCCAAACTCTAAGCCAACTTACAGACCTAAACAAAAAATCTTAAAATCTAAAACAAATGTCAAAGAACTTTAAAGTTTATCTGTCTTTTATCTGTTATTGCATGGAGCTTTATTACAAATATATACTTATATCTCCCTTTCACATGTTTTTGGGTAACATAATAAAAAATACATATAGAAAGTACATTTACTTGTCCATTTCCAATTTTTTTTTTTGTTTTATCTATTTTTGACTATAACAACACATTGACATATTGTATTAATAAAGCAAATTCTAGGCATATTTTTATCATACAGGTATGCTATATCATACAACAAGCTGTTACTATAGTCAGAGATTTTATATATTTTAAAAATAACTGGAAACTAAAACTAAATTGAAAATTTAGAAATTAAAATAATAAATGAGATAGCTCACTTCTTTGGTCACATAGTCGTCTGGGATGAGGGGACGAATCTCGGTGAAGTTGGTGAAGCAGCTGTCCAGTTGGCCGACGCTCATCTTCTGGGGTGGCCTGGTTGTAGTGAAGACTATTGACTTAAACTAATGGCCCTGCGACTATGAAAAACTACCATTTACTGGGCTGTAAAATGCGAAATACAAAAACATTTGGCAACCAGAAGCAACCTCGCCACCCATCCACGTGGTTCTCACATGCCAACCAGTGATGTGGTTCTGACGACTAGAAAGTAGAAAAGGTCGACGGTTACAACGGGCCATTAACGTTGGTTAACTGGCACTTTATCAAACATGTTTATGCTTTATTTTAACAATTAAACCAATAAAAATGCACAATAAACAGAAAACGCGGTAGAAATTGGTACTGAATATGTTCATTTCACACGAGAGCATCATCAATTTACCTTCACCTTTCAGTACTCGCATTTCACAATTGATTAAGCAAAACCGATCAAAAAACAACAAAAGCTAATCGCAGATAATCAATTGCAACATGATGAACATTGGTCTGCAGTTTGACTGACTCAGTTCTTTTAGAACTACTACATACAGCAGACACCATAGTCATGACCTCAGTTGAAACAATTCAAAATTGACTACGATGTTCCTTCATTATTAATTTATGTCTAACATACATATATTGTTTGTACGTTTGCAGCCCTTATCTCTGGAGTTTGTTTGTTCTTATGCATTGCTAGATTCTGCAGAATATTTAAATGTTCAGGTGGTTAAAGAACCCTTTGCACTTTGTACGACAGGTAAAACTATTGTGCTTACTATCGAGCTTTCGATGAGCCCCCACAGGCTGGTAGTGGTTTCTCACTCATCACGAGAATTATTAGTGTCCAGCGTAGATTCACGATTGTTTAGTGCTGGAGAGTAGTGGATTCCAATTTGTACCATATCTCTAAACTTCAAATATCCTCCTTCTGTTATTATTAGGGCTTCAGCTTGAGTCGATGATTAATTAACAGATCTTCAATAATTTTGTTTTTCTGACTTTGTTATATCAGGTCTGTTGTAACAATTAACTTTCCTGATGAAGTCATTTGCCTGCCTTGGTCCTGAAGTTTTTCCATCAGGCAGTATAAGTCATTAACTAGGCCTATTAGACAGTTACTCCGTTTTTAATGGCAGTTTGAAATTTTATAGAAGATTGAGTCAGATTAGATAAGGAAACAACAATCCAGACGATTATTGCATCTGCTTAGGCCAGAGGTGATGATGGAATGCTACTATGCTTCTATTTCCAGAATATTGGCGTACCAGGGAACCTAGTCCTGTCCCATCAGAAACCCCGCCCCATTTCACGTAAAGTTTCGTTAAAATAGATCATGGTAAAATTTAGTTAATCCAGACTGCTTAAAGTTTACAAGGAATAGCCTGTAGAACTGTCCGTCTACACTCGCGGGTTTTTTGATGTTGCTCAAACGCGTTATGGCTTTGCGACTTCCTCAGTGAGGAACTTAACATGTTTTCACCAATTCGCAGATCCACCGATCTACTGATCCACCAACAACATTGACCTGTATGTTGTAAGATCATTTTGCCTGCCCTCACTGTCTTGGTCTATCAGACGTATTTCGGCAACAACCCACCACTGATGATGATGATAATGATTATGATGATTTAAAAACAAAAACGTAATCAGAGAGTTGGTAGAAAAGTTTTTATGAAGGTGTCAACTAAATATTGATGACGTAATTAAAGGCATTAAAAATTATTTTCTTTTTTTAATGTATTATGTGAAGATAAGTAACATAACTTATAAACTAACACACAAACATACAGTATTCATATATAGAAAAAAATTATTTAAAAAATATTGAATTATGCCCAAATCCTTCTCGGCTCTTTCCATCCGAGTTCACCCATTAAGTACATCACCCTGTCGGCTATCCGGGGCCCTAGGGACTCGTAGAATTCCAGCATGTCCGGTTTCATTTTGTAAGCGACACTTTGAAAAAATAAAATGGGAATTTAAAAATTTAACGACAAAATTCATTGGATGCTTACACATGATCCGGCTTGACTGAAAGGTCGAGATTCCCAGCTTGAAATTTATTGTAAATTTTGTCGTGTTCCTGCCTTGCCTCGTCCCAATCCACTTCCTGGCCCTGGTAGCAAAGGTAAGCCCTGATCTTGGCGAAAAGAGGTTCGTTGTCGTAGATGTCCTTCCATTCTTCGTACGGCAAGCGCTTTATAAGACCTTCTGCTCTCACCTTTAAAAGAAAGTGAAACAAATCTAAATTTAAAACTAGCAGAAATGTTGTAAATACATCAAGGGCTGTTTCTCATGCTCTCATTAAATGATCAAACTAAAGAGCAAATATTTAAAAACAACCTGCCGTGAAAGAACGAGCTCGTTTTGTTGAACAACCCATAGAAAAGTCATAGCAGCCATGGGGTTTTCTTCCTTTAAAACAATAAATCCAGATAAATTTTAAACGCTGCGAAATAAAATAGACATTGATTACCATTTCCCGGACTTTTTTGCTCCTACTATCAGTCATGATGACGAAGCCGTCTTTGTCCAGCCTCCTCAAGATTAAGTTCCTCGCGCTCACACGACCACTTCTTTAAAAACAAACAACCAATTATTAAAGAAAAAAACCGGAATTTTTTTCAAAAATTACTTTGCAGCTGTGGACAGACAGAAGCTGTTCTTCGCTATGTAGTTGTCCGTTTCAAATTCATCGTACCACTTTTGGACAAGTTGGAACGGATCTTTAGGAGTAAATTCAATTTTATGGAGGCCGGTATCGTTAGCATTCCTGGCTACCTGAAGGATAAAAATATAAATTAGATTGTCTTTCTTAAATGCATGTCAGACTAGTTGTAAACTATAGTTCTTCTCCGAACTGGTTTTATACAGCGATCCGGATTACAGAAATTAAATTTGCACATTAATTTTAAACTACTTACCGGATACGATGTTGCCATTCTCTTAAACGAGCTGATCGCAGTTTTTGCGATATTCTTTATGATATTGTCAATCTTTAAAAAATTCAACACCAAATTAGATTTACAACAAGGAATCGTCACATATTCTAAATTAAACATGTACAAAAACAAACATTGAAAAATGAATAAGTACATAGTATATTAATAAGTAATAGAGCAAGTTAGATAAACAGATAAAGCACATAAACTAGGTCTTTTGGTCTTGAAAATCTCAACTACGTTAAATTTCTTCCTAAATAACGTATTTATAGTTTGAATTTCACTTACAAGCTGAAGGAATAGACATAGAATGTGTGGAAAGAGTAAGTTTGTGAGTATATGAATGAGTTAGTGAAAACTAAAGTTCGGTCAGTGAACGAGCGTGTAATTTGTGAGTAAAAGAGTGAGTTTGGGCTTGTGGCGAGGGAAAAGTGAGGAACAAGCGATGGGTTAGGTGAGTAGATGAGTGAGGCCATATGTGAGTGAATTGGTAAGAGTACGAACGTGTGAGTTATGAGTTAGAAAGCAAAGGGGTTAGTGAGGGAGAGTGATGTAATAGTGAGTAGACGAGTAGGTGAGACCATATGTGAATGAGTTGATAGGTGAGAAGGTAAGTGAATGAATGACTGAAGCTGGATGTTGTAAGTTGTGAAAGATGTGTGAGTATTGCGAATGAAAGAATATGCGTGAGTTGTTGGGTAAGTAGATAAGTGAACGAACGAGTGAGAGAGTGGGTGAGTAGGTAAGTGAACTAATATGTGAGGGAATGAGTTGAGTATTGGGAGTTGTGTGAGTGAGTTGAGTATTGTGAGGGAGAATGTATGAGTGAGTGAGTTCTAGGGTGAGCAGGTGCGTGAACGAATGAGTGGGTGGGTGAGTGAGTGTTGAGAGTTTATGTGAGTGAGTTGTTGGGTAGGTAGATAAGTGAACGAATGAGTAAGAGAATGGGTGAGTAGGTAAGTGAACTAATATGTGAGGGAGCGGGTGGGTTTAGGATTTTCAGTGGTTGAATAAATAACGAGTACGTGAGGAGGGAGCAACTGTCATTAACAGAGACCCACACACAGAATTAATTACAAAACGGATGCAAACTCAGCCGTAGCTGTAGCTACACCAACATCATAAAGCAAATAAACTATTAAAATTTATTTTTATATTTCCCTTTCCTTAATAATTAACTTCCTTTCCAATATTGAATAAACCCCGAATCAGAAATCCAATCCAGAAAATCATCATTATCGACTTCCTTTGAATCAAATAAAACCGCCTATGATCAACACACATTTCCCAGATTTACCGCCAAAAACAACAGAATACAAATTCACGTTTCACAATTTCACAGGGGACAAATATGACACCACAAGAATTTATGTTAAAACTTTGTAGTTTTGTGCCTACCTGTATTTGGCGTTTCTTATCTAGGTATTGCGGATGTTGTATATAACAGGTGACCTAGTTGGCCAATCCTATGTATAATTTTGGTGCTTCGGTATTGTGTTGTCATACGAATTAAACTCCAACTAGCTCAATACTGAATATGTTTTTGTTTTTTTATTAATATGTACAAGCTTTTTCTCAAAATACCTTAAAAGTAGCTGTAATCAAATGTGCTAGAACGAATTTTTGAGTTGAAAAACGTAAAAATTGTAAATAATTTATGGTACACACCCGTTTAAATATTATGGTGAACTGAAAAACCAGGACGGTGTCAACGTATGATATTATATGGCAATTAAGAAAAGCAATTTGAAAAACAAATATCGTATAAGTTACAATCATCGTAATGACATTAATGTTTTTTTTATATAATAGCAATAATGCGGATATAAAACGGTTGTCTCGTTCTGTCTTCGAGATGGATTTTCCTAAAATTTTCCTTTTTTTGGAATAAAATAAATTGGATCAATATTTACCATGGTGTTGTGTTTGGTGGGTGTGATCTTGAAGAATGATCCTTAAAGGGTTGGCTTTCTTCCACCTCCCTCTTGAGCTTATATAACGCTTACGTAAGCTGTATCAAATTGTATGGTTCAGAAGTATCATTTGCACTTGTCAAAAAGCTCATCGGAGGCGGTTGTACGCGTGAAGAAAAGGCAAGCAAGAAGCGTTGAACTTAAAGATGGTTTCAATGACCAAAAGACCATTGGGTGAAAACGAAAATGGAACCGTCTTGGTGTGGCATGGTCCTTTCAATCCGATTACACGGAATTTCAATTTTATATATTTTTATTGTGCTGGTTAAAAGTTCGGGCTAAGATAGATCGTGCTGAATCCTGCTGTGAAACTACCCTTTGGTAAAAGAATTTACCAATGTCTCAGGCGAATTATAAACTGATATAATTATTTTAATCTCAAATACGATTAGTAATACCGGATTAAAATTGATTTAGCACGAGCAAATTCACAAAGAACTGCAGCTGCAGATTAAAGTTTTCAAGGGTAGGCCAAGTACTTCCTCGTCAGTTGGTTACTTATTTGATATATGCTCATTAGTACTAATACGTACTATTTTTGGATAACACCTTCTTTACAGCACTTCACACTGCGGTCCTATTTCGTTTGATTTGTAAGTGGATATTTCTGGGAGATTTGAGAACTGGAATTTGAGAACGCCACTTTGGTTTCATCCTCCTGGTGATATAACTCACTGACGACGCTTCTTGTTAAGTAGCTTATGCATTTCGTTTAAACGTGCATACTCCAGGTCTTTGCCTATTTTTCTGTACTTTTCCTGAAGATTTAACTCGTAGTTTAAACAATGCTTTTTACAAGTTACATGTTTGTACTACAATGGTTCTAACTTCTAAGTGCTTATACCTCCAAAATTTTCGATATTCCAGAAGACTTTTCGCCTGGATAAACTCCATGGTTTTTGAGAGGTACTTCATTTTAAGGTGAGTGTATCACTGATGAAAGTCGACTACACCAATAATGCGTCCGATGAAATTAATAAGATGAATTTCATCATAAGAACAGGCATAAGATCAACAAAACGCCTGTTGTATTCATCCAACTCAGTATGGTAAACAATACAGTATTCCTATTGAACGAACCATCTCGCTATGGTATCAGCTTGTGTCATAACTATCCACAAGTCGCAAAATGTTCAACGAAATTGGAAGGATATTCACATCTACTTCTGCATTAACCTGAGCTACGAGTTAATAAGGCTCGGGCATCATGGCTGCGGTCGATAAGTCAATGTGTGTTCTAAAGCTTCAGGAAAAAGCTTAGAATTTGCCTAAGAATTCGTTGAAATTATTCAACTTAACATTGGCTGTTGTTATCGAGGATTTCATCCGATTATATCTTAGTGATGACCTGAATAAAAACTTTGGTTCAATTAACTTCAAATGGTAAAAGGTTCAAAAAGTTGTGATAGCATTACATCACAGTAATGCTAACAGAACTAACATTGTAACACCTAACACAGAACCGAAATGTTAACTAGCGGAGTGCATCAATTGTTTGAGTGTGCAACAGAATGTCACACAGACGGCGGAAACCGGAAAGCTTTTGTGTTCTGCGGGGTGAACCCATAGTTTGGTCGTTTTGTACCTGGTGTGCGGGTCAGAGTTATAAACAAGTCCATACACCTACACACAACGTGTTTGAAGTCTAAAATAGAGATGGTTCAGAATTATTTAATATCCACTACGTTGTATTTTTTAAAGACGAGAATTACACCTGGCCTTTGCTGCTTTTCTATAATTTCTTCCTTCGTCATTTCACTTTCCAGTGTGGTAACTGTCTACCGATAAAATTTTCACCAGAATACCATTAAATCAACAATGTTCCCGCTTCCAAACTAGCAAATGATCATGCAGCACCACCAGAAGTCCGACTCGTCGACGAGTTTTCACATTAAATAATTACGAATGGAGCAAGCAGTAGTCAGAAGCAACAGCAATACTTGACTTGGCGTTATACACATTATCTATTAATCCATCATGCTTAGTCGTCTAATTGACCAAACTACTTCTTTCAATTAACTATTCTTTTTATGTAAGGTCTTGGTTGAGATGAAAAAGTTAGTGTCACGAGCGGGATTCCAACCGACGACCTTCGGCTTTTGAAAAATGGCAAAAAGTGGGAAAATTCCAAAGGTTTAGGTTGAGATGAGGAGTTGGTGTCTGAGTGGATCGAAGTCACGATAGACTCAATTGGTTAGAGCAACGGGTATTCAGCCGAAGGTCGTGGGTTCGAATACCGCTCGTGTCACCAACTTTTTCGTGTCAACCAAGACCTTACATAAAAAGAATTGTTATCACCAATACCTCACATAAAAAGAATAATCCATTATATTTCGTGGTATATTGACCAAATTACTTCTTTCAATTAATTAATCTTTTTATGTAGGGTTTTTGGTTGAAATGAAAAAGTTAGTGTCACGGGCGCGATTTGAACCCACAACCTTTGGCTAAATACGTCGTTGCTCTACCACTTGAGCTACCGTAACTTCGAATCCCGCTCGTGGCACTAACTTGTTCATTTCAAGCAAAACCTTCCAAAAAAAGATTAATTAATTGAAAAAAGAATAATTATCATCTAGACCTTACATAAAAAGAATAATTATCTATAGAGGTTAGTGTTGATACATAACCTAGCAGATTTCTTGAAGAAATTTTCAAAAAACGAAGTATTAGTTTTGTCGATTCAGCCTTCTCCCTGGTTTTTTGGGTTTACCGCTGTAGTTGGTCAAGGATATAAGATGGGTGAGGGACCAACAGAAAACCACGATTAAAGTCGACAAGGCCAAAATGATCGGAAATGATTCGTCAGATATCAAGAAGAAATCTCATAAAAGTTAAGTTGAATTTGGTTGATTCTGTCTGTTTGACGCAACGGTTGGTCAAGGATATAAGGAGGAACAACGGAAATCCACGTTTAAAGATAGCAAGATCAACATGACTTTATACAACGAGAAAAAATCTCATAAAAGCTAAAGTTGTAGTTTGTCCCCTATTCTTGCTCATTTGTTCCGTTGACGCAACGGTTGGTCAAGGATATAAGGAGGGAGAACAGCAGAAATCCACGTTTAAAGATAGCAAGAACAACATGACTTTATACAAGAAAAATCTCATAAAAGCTAAAGTTGTAGTTTTGTCCCGTATTCTTGCTCATTTGTTTCGTTTGACGCAACGGTTGGTCAAGGTATGAACAGGGTGGGGCACGTGGATAACCACCCGTGGACCCCTTGCAGGATCTTTTTATTTTATTTATTGTGTTTTGTCGGAGGTATTTCGCACTTATTTCCCTCACAAATGTATTTTGCAAACTATCTCACTCTCTTTAATATTAAACTAATCTTAATTCTTTTGAACGAGATACGTACTTGATTTGCTAAATATTTGAAGTTAACTCACTCCCACTTTAATAAGTACACCTGAGTTCTTGCCAAGATTACTGATATTTGGACGGTACATGCGCATGCGCTCGTCACAGATGTGCAATAATAATAATATTCAAATAAAATTATAATATTAATAAAAATAATCGCAATGTTCTTTTTAAACTTTTATTAGCACAAATGTACAATCATGGAGCCAAAAAAATTCTTAGCTTTTTAAAAAATCATAAACATAGTAAAATTATAGAAACTGCCGTTAAGGTCAATAATAATGACCCTAATATAATAGATTGTAAGCTTGGTAGATGGCAATTAAATTTTTTTTCCATCCAGATTTTTCATGATTAAAAAGAGAGGTTGATTCATCTAACACTTAAAATGATAATAACACTTCAAATAATAAGGATAAATTTTATTTTATGTCTATAACGTTTAAAACGAGAGGCCGGTTATTGTGTTTAAATTATACAATTAATAGAGAAGAAAACAAGAGGCTGTGCTCGTTGTGAAATTTAGGAGATGTTGAGAATGTTTTCCAATTGGTGCGCGTCTATTTATTTATTTATTTATTTATTTATTTACGGATCGAAATCCACTATAAAAAAAGACATTTTACAATAACAAAAAATATAAATAATATATGTAAAAATACAAATAATATGTATAAAAAGAATAAGTACGTATATACATATAAAAATACAATTAAAGAGTAAAAACTGAACAACAAAAATGAAAGACATAATTACTAACCAAATAAGGCAGAGGAAACAAAATAAAGCTGAAAGACAATTGAAACTACAATAATTAGGTACATATTTAATGAAAATAATGCTCTTTGTAAATATATAATAAGACTAGAGTGCGAGAATTAGTTGAACCAGTAAATGAAATAAATTGTAATAATTTTGTACAGTATGAAATATAAAAGCATTCAACTAAGGTTGTAGGATAAGGTTTTTCACAGATTGCACAGAACTATTGAAGAAGTCAATGCTATTGCAGATGTTGTTACTCTTGATCATCATTCTGTGTAGAGGAGAAGAGAGCATGTAGTTAGAGCTTTGGAATTCAATATAAAATAATTTATAGGTTTTAAGAGAGTACGAAGGGACATGTAGCTGTAGTTGAGAGAGGAGATAAGGACTATCAATGAGATTGTTTAATAATTTAAATACAAAAACAATATCAAAGTAATCCCTTCTTAGTGCCAGTTCGAAAAGTTTAAATTCAGAGCGGATTCCAGGATAGGCAGAATTCGGAGGAAGATTGAGTTTGTAGGAAAGTTTTTTTAAAAATTTGTTTTGTACAGATTGAAGAATTTTTTGATAATTTAGATAGAATGGGTTCCAAACAGGTGTAGCATATTCTACTATGGGTTGTACAAAAGCTTTATAAAGATGGACAAAACATAGAGGATTTTTAAATTCATAGGTATTCCGGATGATGAAACCTAGCATCTTCATAGATCTATTTTTTATTGAAGAAATAGGTTCTTTAAACTTGAGCTTTTGATCAAAAAGTACACCAAGATCCTTTACGACCTCAACTCGCGTTAAAAGAGCATTATGGAGATAAATAAAAGGTTGTTTCTTATGACAGAATGTAATTGTGTAGCATTTGGAAACATTAAGAGCAAGTTTGTTATTAGAACACCAGGTTAGCACATTATTGATAGAATTTTGTAATTGTAAGCAATCGGAAGGAGAAGTGATTATGGAATAGATTTTCAGATCATCAGCAAATAATAAAAATTGAGCAGAAGGGAGAGCAAGATGGATATCATTAATAAATAAGAGAAACAAAACTGGTCCAACATGAGACCCTTGCGGGACTCCCGAGGAAGCTGCAAAGGGACATGATTTAAATGATTTTATTTTGACTATTTGTTTTCTGTCGGTGAGAAAGCTGGATAACCAATTCAAGATAGTTCTGGTGAAACCATAATCCATTAGTTTCCTTAACAGTATTGTGTGATTTACTTTATCAAAAGCTTTAGAAAAATCAGTATACACTGATATATAATAATTAGGGCTGTGATTTATATGCAATAAAAACAGACAAATATGCACAAACATATGTA